TATAAATATTTTCTCACCCCAAAAAAAAAAAAAAGTGTGCATGTTCATTTTCGCAGGGTGAGGATGTCCGAATGCAAGAGATCATGAAACTGGCTCACGAGTTTCTTCAGAACTTCTGCGCAGGCAACCAGCAGAACCAGGCTCTGCTCCACAAACACATCAACCTGTTCCTCAACCCTGGGGTGAGCTCTCCATCTCACACACACATCAGGGTAGCTGTGCTTCATCACTCTGGATGAGTGTCAGGTACGGGGCGGTGACACTGACGGATGTTCACGGTTTCCATATTGCTACATCTTAAATCTTAAAATATCATGATGATGATTCAGAGTTCATCGTCATGACATTATGATGTGGTAATTATGCTGTTTGGGTCTTGTTAGGTTAGTCATAAAATGCGATTACTTTTCATTTAAAATTTCTTCATATATTATTATTAGGTATTCACCACAACATATTTATTTATTTTTTGGATGTTAGATCTCAGACACCACACAGCAAATTGATGTTCTTTACTCTTTGTTCATACAGTGTTTTCTGCCACTTTTCACTGTAAAGTTAATGATTGGATAGAGGTTTGAACATCAGATTTTGTTTAACATGTATAACTGTAGGGGATGGAAATATAAACCATTACAATGAGGAAATTATCAAAAATAAGTAAATAAATTATATATATATATATGTATATATGTATGTATATGTATATATGAATTTGTCATACTGTAATATGATGTTGAATACACACGTTTATTTATTTATATTTTTTGTCTATGTATAAATATGATTTTTATAAGATTGATGAATGACCTGGAGACACTACTTCAAATCTTTTAATTAACTAAATATATTTACTTTTGCTTTTTGGATACAAAATTGTATTTTTCAAAACAATTATATTTAAAATGTGCATGTTTAATAATACACAGGGTTGAGGAAAGGCTAAAAATGATATCTTCATGATGATCAAAGATATCAAAACGAGCTTACTGGTGTAATAATAATAATAATAATAATAATAACTTTGGCAGGACAGAGTCTTGTTAGAATGTCTGTGGTGCTCTTATTCATATAAAATCATTGTTAGATCATTTTGAATTTGTGTTGGTCCTAATGGTTTGGCTTTGTGAATGAAAACAATAATCTTTGTAAAACGTGGTGTTTCAGCATCACACATGCACCACTTCTTGCTCGATTTGAATGAAGCTCTAATTTATATCTCCTCTTTTCTGGGGTGCTAGAACAACCAGGAAGTCACCTCAGAGTGTTTGTTTGTTTGTAAACTGTAATTTCATCTATATATATCTGATCTTTTTTGTCATCTGTAGATCCTGGAGGCCATCACCATGCAGCACATATTCATGAACAACTTTCAGCTGTGCAGTGAGATGAACGAGCGTGTTGTACAGCATTTTGTCCACTGCATCGAGACCCACGGCAGACACGTGCAGTACCTGAAGTTCCTGCAGACCATCGTCAAGGCTGAGAACAAATTTATCAAAAAATGCCAGGATATTGTAATGGCCGAGGTGGGTGGTTGATGTGCTGAAGTTACGTTTGCTTTTGGTAATTGTGTCTGTGATTTAACATGAATCTAATTTTTCTGCAGTTGGTGAACTCTGGAGAGGACGTGCTGGTCTTTTATAATGACCGGGCCTCCTTCCAAACTCTGGTCCAGATGATGCGTTCGGAGCGTGACCGGATGGATGAAAACAGCCCCCTCGTGTACCACATCCACCTGGTGGAGCTGCTGGCCATCTGCACAGAGGGCAAAAACGTCTACACCGAGATCAAGTGCAACTCCCTACTGCCATTGGATGATATCGTCCGTGTGGTTACGCACAAAGACTGCATCCCTGAGGTCAGTGATCTACAGCTTCATGCCACATCATTTTTTCTGCAACATTGTGATACTGTGGTATCATTAAACAAAGCAAACTCCACTTGGTTGCTTTACATTGGTCAGATGGTCTGTTCCTGTAAGTGGAAGACTATTCCAGTTTTCCATAATTCCATAACGCATTCCAACACATATTCCATAAATTAGTAGATTTCAACCTACTAGATTTCACCCCCCCCAAGCAAATTTAGCTTCTTATTATTACTTTAGACAATGGGGGGCATTGTCTAAAGTAATAATAAGAAGCTAAATTTGCTTGTAACACTTTTAGTACCACAAAGTGGGAGATATATTTAATTAATCAAGTTAGTTAATTCAGTAATTAATTCAGTTAGATTATTTTTATACATAAAACTTAAATAAATAAATAAATGTAATTTAATTTTTTATTAGTTCTGTTCTAATACATACAACTTTAATTAAAAATTAATTTAGTTTTTTTTTTTTTTTAGAAACGGCTGCTTTCCCAAATACTGTCATTACCATCATGCAACACACATTTTAGAGTACAATAAAGCGAGTTTTATCAAAGAACAAGAGTTTAAAGTTCAGAAATGCCATTTAATACGATGTGAATATCTCTTTGGTTTTGAGACTTTAGTCTTTGCAACTTCAGGGATCTTATCTATGCACAATCAGCTTGTAACACTCCAAAGAGAAAGGAAAACTTGAAATCGCATCATATGAGCCCTTTAATACCATTAGATATTTTACATGCATAGAACATAAATAATGTAATTTATTTACATTTTTTTAATTATTCTATTTTAATACATAAAACTTAATTTAAATCATTTTTGTAAAAAAATTTTTTATTTTTTTATTTTAAAGCAGTTGCATTATTTCAACTCATAAAACATAAATAAATGTTTTATGAGTTGAAATAATAAAAATAAATAAATTTTTATTAATTCGATTTTATTACATAAAATCTAAATTAAGTTTATTTACATTTTTATTAAACAACAATTAAATTATATCTTTTAGAAATTTAATTCAGTTAGATTATTTAAATACATAACAATTAAATAAATCTAAATTAATTACATTTTTATTATTTATATTGTGTGTATACTGTGTTCTTTTTTTAGGTCAAAATTGCATATATCAACTTCCTGAACCATTGCTACGTGGACACAGAGGTCGAAATGAAGGAGATCTACACCAGCAACCACATGTGGAAGCTCTTTGAGAACTTTCTGGTTGACATATGCAGGGTAATGGAAGCCGATTCAGGGATTTTTCTCAACCCCAATGAATCGTTTCGATGTAAAGTACCAAAAAGTACCAATTTGTCGCTTGCCAGTGTGCAGCTAACATTGTCTAATTGTTGTTGATTGCCTGTGGGTTTTTTTTGTTTAAAGTGAAGTAGGAGTGATTCATTATTTGTGGTATGATATGGGGTTTTATTTATATGATGCCTGGACATCTGCAGTTGATCTGACTTTTTTTTTTTTTTGGTGCAGGAAAGGGCTGAATCAGTGTATGTTCTGACTGTGCTTACTGAAGCAAATGACTCAAGGCCACAATAATTCTGTCTATTCTGTATGCTTGTTTTGCATCCAGGTCTGCAACAATACAAGCGACCGCAAACATGCTGACATGACGTTAGAAAGCTACGTGACAGAAACCGTGATGAGTATTGTGACGACATTTTTCAGCTCCCCTTTCTCCGACCAGAGCACTAGTTTACAGGTAATGACCCCCAATACAGCATTATATACTGAAATATTCATGATATATTTGCACAAGTTAAGTATATGTCGTTCTCAGTTTCAGTTCAATTTTGGTTTACCACCTTCTTCAGTTTCTACAGCGGATTGATTTCTTTGAAGTAAATACACCGTTATCTTTATACATAGGAAAATGAACGTTCCAGATAATATCTTAACCCTTTTCACCTCTTCCTCGCTCAGGTGGCGCGTCATATGTATGTAAGTATCTGTAATAGCCCCTCCCCTTCTCTAGCTTGAACCTGCCAGTGCCTTTTGTGAGAGGCACTGGCAGGTTGTGCCTTTTGTGCGGTTTCATCACACTCGCAGGTTTCTAAAGAATCGGCCTGACCACTGGCGACTGACGCACTGGTCGGAGCTTTCCAAGTACTCTCTTCTCTCATGCTCTTGCACATCAACACATACAGACTTCCCACATCTCCATTTCGCAATGTGACAAACTAGGGCTCCATAGATACTCCACATAGCGTGTGTACTGTATGTTTGTAGAGCGTTGGTGGCTCTGGAGTCTTTTTACTATTAACCGTCTTTCCATGTAGTGGAAAAGTCTTTCCTGTCTGCAGATTAAAGAAATCATATGAATGGTACTGTATCTGTACGTACCGAGATTTTGTTTGTTTGGTTTTAAAGAGCTTGTAACTATAAAGTAAAGTTTACTGTTTGTTTATCCAGGTCAAAATGGGTTGAATCTTGCATAAAGACAGACATTTTGTGACATTATTACATTATTCTCAATTTTTCGGTAAAAAACTACTACTATGATGAATAAATCCAATTTAAATGATATACTGTAGTATCAATTATTTTGATATTACAGTAATGCAATAATGCATATAAGAGTAATGAGAAATAGAAATGTATTAATTCTCATGAATTAATGAGTCTCCAAAAATGAGCTTTGTTTTCTTTATTTTATTAGGGATTAAATAGCCATTAAATATAATTTCTCAGACAATGCATTAAGCAAAAGCTTAGAAATTGAAAACATGATCATTTAAGAATTTGGTACAATTATAAAGTTACTAATTCTATGTAATTCATAAAATATAATCTCTATATATTATTATATATTTTAATATTACTGTATATATACACATATATATTTACACTACCATTTTTATGTTCTTGAAAGAAGTCACTATTGCTCAGCAAGGCTGCATTGATTTCTATTCAGTTTCTATGGCAAAGCGGAAATTTTTGCTTCAGTCCTCAGTGTCACATGATTTTTCAGAAATCGTTTTAATATTTCTTACTGTTATCAATGTTGAAAACAGTTGCTGCTTAATAGTTTTTCTGCTTAACCCTGATTTTTAGGATATTCGGATTGAATAGGATCTTTGAATGGAAATTTTATTTCATATTAAAATCCTTGTAGCATTTTAAATGTCTGGTTTACTTTGACTAGTGCAGATACAGAAAAATGATATATATATATATATATGATATATAATTACTTTATTCTGCAGTTGTAAAGTAGGAAGTACCTCCTGTTACTATGTCGTGTATCGACCCTAAACCCCATTCATTCTTTCCTGGAAGTGTTGCTTCATGACAGCTTCCTTCTCTGATCTCTCACATCTCTCTTTGTTGTGACAGGCCTCCATTTTAAGCAAAATTACTGAGGTACAGATTTGTAATGACTTCACAGTGGTTGCACATGGAATGTGGTGACGTAGTTTGGGTTAGACTCTTGTCTAGGCATCCTGTTTGAGTGGGAAACTAGATCAAACTGAGTCTTTTTTTTTTGTTTTTTTATTTTCACATTTAAGCCCCTTGTGCGTACTAGTCTAGTTGTCCAGAAAGCATTTGAACCAGTCTCACAAATGTAGCGTGGTAAACGTGTGATCCTTCCACTTAGCTCTGCGCATTTTTCTTGTGAGTGTTGTTGGGTTCTCACCCATTGTGTTGGTGGTAAGATGTGTTGTTTCTGTCACTTGAGGTGTTAATACATCATACTTTGTTAACCTTTATTTGTTAACCTATATATATCTGTAATAAAAATAGAAAAATGTCCACAAATTTGGTTGTATACATTTTTTATTTTTTTTTAGAAACAGTCTTTAAAGACATGTATCAGGTTCAATGCAAGTTAATCTCTATTGATAGCAGTGCATGTGCAGTAATTCTACTAGCTTTACTAAGGGTCAGTAATGCTTTTGAAATGCATACCAAGAAATAGCAAGGCATTTATTTAATTAAAAATTCTATAAAAATGGTAATATTGTGAAATATTTTTACACTTAAGTTATATATATTTTATTATATTTATATATATATTATATTATTTTAATCCTTGCTGATTAAAAGTAGCAACTTCTTTCAAAAAAAAAAAAAATCTTACTGACCCCAAACATATATTTTTTTTTTTTCTATTTGAATATATTTTATTTTATATTTTACAATATAATTTATTCCTGTAATGATGAAGCTGAATTGTCAGCATCGTTACTCCAGTCTGTCACATGATTCTTCAGAAATCATCCTAATATGCTGATTTGCTGCTCAAGAAATTTTTTTTTTATTATTATCAATGTCGAAAACAGTTGTTCTGCTTAATATTTTTGTGAAAACCGTGATACAATCTTTTTTTTTTTAGGATTCATGTCAGCATTTATTTGAAATGGAAATCTATTATAACACCATACATGTCTTTACAGTCACTTTTGATTAATATAATACATCCCTGCTTAATAAAAAATATTTTTTTCTTTAAAAAATTACAGGAATTATGTTGCCAACATATAACCAAACGTTCATTCAGTCAAAACTAGTTAAATTAGAGTTAAAGGAACATTTAAACGGCTGTAACCCTCAAATATGCACATTTTTGTGTGTAATAATTAACATAAGTACTTTAACCAACATATAGACTTTTGAGTCTGATGCTTTAACATCTATTGAACCTGGAACACCGTACTGCTTTTTTTTTCAACATTAAAAACCAGAAAGATATAGAAACCAGAAATGATGTAGAGATGTTTCATTCACTTGAAAACCTGAACCTTTTGATGGTGTCCATCAGAAGTTTCCTTTTAGCTTCTCCATTATTATTAATAATTAGTTCTTTTGCTTTTCCTCCTTTCGTCTTTCTCTGTCTAATATAATCTCTCTCTCTCTATCCTTTTGTCTCTCCTCTCTTGTTGTTTTTGCTTTCTTGTTCTCCAGACCCGGCAGCCTGTGTTTGTGCAGCTCCTGCAGGGGGTTTTCAGAGTTTACCACTGTAACTGGCTCGTTCCTGCCCAGAAAGCCTCAGTGGAGAGCTGTATTAAGGTTCTGTCTGATGTGGGTAAGTATTTGACCATGATCATTCAGACTTTGAGGAATGAACCTCATACAATTCCATTTCCATTTATCTTTACATCCGGCCTCTGTTGTATGTTTCAAATAAAAACCAGAGGCGTAAGGAAATGATTTCACCATTTATGAATTGTGCTTTTAATCTTTGTAATTTCAATTGTCTTGTTTAGCCAAGAGCAGAGCGATCGCCATCCCGGTGGATTTGGACAGCCAGGTGAACAACCTGTTTGTGAAGTCCAACAATGTGGTTCAGAAAACCATCCTCAATTGGAGGATGTCAGCTCGCAACACGTCCAGAAGAGACTCGACGCTCACCACTTCCAAAGATTACAGGAACATCATCGAGAGGCTGCAGGTGAGGGCGGGGTCTCTGGAGAACTGCCAGTGAGGAATGACAAAATGTTTTTGTATATAAAATGTTGCGTCACAATAGCTTTAATCGAGACAAAGTTAAAAATAGAATTATTGTTGAAATCATTGTTTGGTCAGTCAGTTGATCAATCGTGCATATAACTACCTCTGGTTATATGCGCTATATTGTTCCAGACGCATTACAAAATGGAATTTGAAGAGGTGGGGAAACAGGAAACTCGTTCCAGGAATTCACGTGCATTGTTATTGGGAAGTTGAGTCAGTATGAGATATAGGTCCTGGGAAATTTAGTCTGGTGAAATGTTCTGATGATGTTTGTCTTTTGGCACTAGACTAGGATCCCAACACACACACACACACACACAGTGTTGGGAAGGTTACTTTGGAAATGTAATAGGTTACAGATTACAAGTTACCCTACTTAAAATGTAATAAGTAGTGTAACTTTTCAATTACTTTATTAAAGTAATGTAACTGATTACATTTGATTACTTTTTGATTACTTTTCTAAATTTCTAATGTTTTCAACTGTTTATCATTTTCAAACATGTAAACCAGGCAGGGTAAACCTTACAGTAGTACTCAACACTGATTACTGTCACACTTTCGAAATCCTTCATCACTTGAATTAAGATGATCAAATTTGAACACATCCACCACAAAATCAGACTTTAGTACCGCCTTTTACTTTGAGAT